CGCAATATAGGCGTAGTTCTGTTAGTATAAGATAATAAGATGTACTTTGTTGATCCAAAATCGGGAAATTGTGTTGTTATGAAATAAAAAAATTCTAACTTTTTTTAAATTTATTTATTTTTAAGTTTTTGGCGCCCCCCATTGATTGATGCGCCCTTAGCATTCGCCTATACTGCCTATGCCAAAGGCCGTCCCTGAGTAGCACTAGCAGTAGCTACTGACCATGCTCCATCAGTGAGCAGCAGAGGTGGGGCCATGGCATCATCGTTATCAGGAAATTATCGTATAGGGCGTACACACTGAGCCGTTTGGGCCCCCAGAGCGTTCCGTTTGCAGATCTATCCACCTTGGTACCCGTTATCGTTTGCGGGGTCCGTTTCCGCGGTTCCGTTACGGACCCGGTTTCGTTCTCGTGTAAACACCGCTTTAGTAAGGCAGTACAGTTAAACTAACCAAGCTCTGATTGCTGCAGTGGCTAAATAAAGCCCAGAGAGGTTCCTCTGTGTGAAGGTGAACAGTGTTTAACATTGTGTTGATGTTCAAACAATGCTGTCATGCGGTTAGTGGCCCTCTGAAGCTGTACTTAGGCAGAGTGGAGCTTTAAGCTAAATGTTAACATGCTGAGCGAATATAATGTTTTCCATGTTCCACTTATTAGTCCTAACCTTATAGAGGTAGATGTTATTATAACCATAACAAGGAAGATAACCTTAAAAAAGGGATTTAGTTACTATGGATATCTGAACAAAATTGAATGGCAGTGAGTCCATACATCGCATTACTTCTTAGAATAACGACATTAAATTCACACAAGGTGTTTAACTGATACCTACCAAGGCCTCTCCCTGCTAACATCTTTCCCCCCTCTTTGTTCCCCTGTCATCTCGGAATGTGACATGCTACCTGCCAATTAGATCTTGCTTTCTATCAAGTTGATAGGAGGGATGTAGGGATTCAGGTGGTGAAGCAGAGCCCTTGGGCGATGTCTCGGGTAAAATATGAGTTTCTTGCCAATCCTGATGAAATGCTGGAGTCGCCCGCTATGCCGTCGTATATCACCCAGCTCTGCCATATCCTCTCCGACAGGTTCAGTAAATCTCTCGCTGTTTTTACTTTTTAAACTGTTACTCATTGCTTATCTTGAGTCATCATCCCAAGGCAGGCCGTAGAAGAAAATTGTGGACATCATGCCTGCTGCTGTTAAGCCAAGTGATGTAACTTTAATTACAACTATCCAACGCGATATTTCTTGTGATACCTCTTTGGATGATAGAGCATAGCAAAAGATTCATTCAGAATGCTTTCATAATTATTACAAATGTATGCTAATAGCTTGTGCTGGCATGAAATGACATAACTGACAGCAGGAAGTGCAAGCTTTAAGTAATAAAACAAAACCCTCTCATAAAAAAAATTCAGCAACATACCACTTTTATTTAAACTAGTCTCCCTCTCTGTGTACTACACTACAGTGTGTCCATGCATTCAAATGTGTCGACAAGTTCACTCAAATCCCCAAGGCACAGTGTATGTTTGCGTGTCTGCGAGAAAAAAGGAGGTATCAGCAGCATTAATCTAATTATCCTGACACTAAGTGAAGTGCACAAAGGGATTATGGAGGTTAAGTACTGCATTCCATTAGTGGTCTGACACTTATCACCCCAATCAATTCATTATCTATAATTATCCCAGATATCAGTGGAAAAGACCAACAAATTCTGCTTGAGTATAAGAACCCCCCCCCCCCCGAAACTGTGTGGTACTTTCAGTGTGTTGAATATAAAATGCTTGAATCCATGAAATAGCCTCATTTCCACACTCGCAACAATTCACTTCCCCGGGATGCACAGCAGCAGGGGAGGCTGGGGATTAAGCTGAATTGTCACTAGGGTTTGTATCAGATGATCCGGGTATGAGAGTCAGAGTGAGTGGGAGGTGAAAAAAAAATGCAAGTCGCCCTCAGGTGCAGAGGGGTCTACTTAGCGCATGAATAATGTAATGGAATAGCTGGTGATTTATTTTACAGGAAACACAAGGTTTTGACAGAATGTTTTCAGACGGCCAGTGTTTGTAGGTGGCTGTGTGCTTTAACACTTCTGTAGCCTACATTGCTTTACGCTCGAGTGCACATTAGTGTCTGGATGCAGCCCTCTGAGTACATGCCATAGAATGTCTAAGTGTGAACTCTGTGCTAGTTGCTGGCTGCTGAGCTCATCACGGGTGAGGGTCGTGTGTGGGCTGCTGTCACCTGTCCTCCATCAGTCCTCCTCCCCTCCCTGTCCCCAAATCTCACAGCTGCTCATGTCATTCATTAATAGATGCCCTAGGGCCAACAAAAGCTCACAACCACGTTTTATTACTGTCAATTCACTCTCAGTCGTCAAGGTCAAATCTGCTTCACTGGCGCTCTACTGTCCAATATTTTTGTTATAGAGAGCAAGTAGGAATGTGTGTTTGACTGAAAAACAGGAGGCTTGTGAAAAAGAGAAAGAGACAGAATGATAGAGAAGGAAGTGTCGTAGCAGCTTTCAAATCAGCTGTGGTCTATGGAGAATAATCAGTAAGGTAACAAACGTACATCAATACAATATTCGTATTAAAAGCAATAAGGAACTTTATACTTGCAAGTATGACGTCTCACCAGAGAGCACGTACTGTTCTGAGTAAAACAGGCTCTCTTTATAAGAGGACATCAAAGCAGATTTACATTACAACATCATTCTGGGAGGCCAGCTGATACCACCTCTGGCACTGTTAGCAAAACCATCACACCCTACAAGACAGTGGGATATACAGATAATCCCTTATCGTAAATTCCTTCCCCTCATCCTTCCTGTAGTGTCATAAAACCCCCTTGCAAAAACATCTGTTGATCACTCACACATTCAAAGGTCACAGGATTTGACCTAATCAGTCAAACCGTTGACATGACATTTTCAGAATACAGCAGTTTACATTTCATTAGGTTTACACTGTATTAAGCTTTAGTACCATAATTTCCATCACAGAAGTAAGGAAGGGAAATTATAAAATGTCAGGAGGGCTGCCATGTGAACAGATGTAGTCTGTTCTCTGTCCTTGATTAACCGTGATGAGTATTGCTCCTGTGAGAATACAATAAGTAAAAATATAAAGGCAATCTGTTTCCTTGGTAGAGTTTTTAATCATTGGATCATTGCTTATTTTATGGAAGGAAGTGATCTGTTTTTAAAGACAGTTGAACACTTAATACAATGAAATGTCACATCTGCCACAAACTGAAGTTATTCTGAGTTTGATAAATCAACTTCAAAATAATATCTTGTACGATCCATTCTGCATTGTACTAAAGACATTACTATAAAACGTGTATTGTGGAGGTGTTTAATACTTTTAAATGATTTAAGGGATTTAAAGGTTTATTTGTCAGCTGTGACATGCTCCTGGGGCTTGGTAAAATACTTGTTTTAAAAGAGAAATATGGGTACAGATGCAATAAACAAACATATCAAATGTTATTATGTGTAAAATGTCATAAATTCAAGGCCGACTATACAATAAAATGTCCACAAACAACAAAAACACAATGTGCATTCATACTGTATTTGTAGCGTTGCTTTTTTCTATTTTAGTGCTTTATGTATTTGTGTAGCACTGGCCTATAGTACATCTCCTTGGCTGTTTTTTATTGACATGCCTCACACAAATGGCTCAGAGAAAGAATGGGTAAATCCACACAAGAAATATAATTCACCTTTACTTAAAGAATGTCTACTGAAGTTAACAGAAAACCGGTAATCGAGTGTATCAGCAAGCATTTCATAAGTGTTATGTGTGCTATTGAGGTATTGGAGGAAAAAACCAAAGGGGAATATAGGGTGGAGCTGTAAGAAGGGTGGGACACTGGGCCTCTGGCCTGAGGGCACAGCACAGCATAATCAGCGGATGGCCCTCCCATAACAGCCTATTGACTACTGAGGTTGCCTTCAAGACAGTGCGCAGGGCGTCACACATCAATGTGATTGGCTTCAGACTGTTGATTTAATGATGGTCATGTAAGATCAGTTTGGCATTGAGCTATCTGTTATATATACTCTGGGAAAGTCAGGATTCTTCTTCCAACTGCAGTGTGCAAAGTGAGTACTCTTTCATTTTTATGTCAGCCTTTATTTGATGTGTAAAAACAGGATCATTACAATAACTCTGCACATTGTTTTCTCTATAAAATGTACTTTTGAGTAAAAAAGAAAAGCAATTTATTCTTCCAAATTGTTTCAAACATCTGGTATACTACTGCTATCTTTATTTATTTATTTGTGAACTTTGTTTTTTTATTGAGTTTTAGAATGAAAAAGATAGACATAAAACAAAATGGGTTTTCAAAATCACTTATAAAATGGTTAAAAGACTGCAAAGCTTTAAAGTGTGTACTATTTTTGGTGGAAACCGTTACACAGAGCCAGTATCAAATATTCTATACACTATATGTTCTATACAAAATGTCTCCCTGTTTGAGTACTTAGCTATGTTTCAATAGTGAGATTGAGTAAGGGTCAGTGCACACAGATGTCCAGGGAAGGGAACAACAGATAGGTAACACCGAGCAACCTTTCATTGGCCTAAGTTCAACTCTGACGTGACGGGGTATGTTGCAAGCCTCAGATAAAAAGAAGCCTCAGATAATACAGATGAAAGAGGTACACACAAGTAGCAAAACTGAGTAATTTCAAATTTAAATCCCGTCCTGTATTAAGAGTAGCCAGTTAATCCAATGATCAGCAAATGTATCCATTCAATTTCAAAGAAGAGTCAACATTTCCATTTTTTTCAAGCCCTATTCACTGTATTGTTGTTTGGCGTTCTAAAATCTTCCTTTTTCTTTTTCAAATGGTGCGAGCAGTGTTTGGAGAAGATTCTTTGAGTACAAATATTGCTAAGAGATAATGAATAATCTCTTAGACAATTATTGACCTTATCTCTGCTACTCCACCCAGGAATAGGGGTGAAATTACATCACTGCTGCATTCTCTAAAACAGAGATTCAGAGGGATCATTGCCCAGCAGTTCACTTTCTCTGAATGAGGAGTTCCCCTATCAGTGATTGAAGAGGTAAGTCGTGTTGCAAATGTTTACATCTTTCCAAACGTATTTGGCCTTTCCATATAAATCCAGAAATCATTATTTTCCGCTCATTATTACGTTGTTATATTCTGTTCAGAAACTTGGGTGTTTGGTAGCATTGTCATAATGAAATCAGTGTTTACTCATTCATGTTGCATTGCTCATTATCCTTGCTTACCACCGTCTCTATCCTGAAGGCCCTGTGACAAGTAGTCCTGAGAAAGAGCGTCTCTGTTGAACTTCAAGCCCAGAAGAGGGACAAACATGCTTCTTTGGTGTTCTGAGAATTTTGTTTTTGTGTTAACAGAGAATAACTCGGTTGGAAGTGGCATTTGAGGTTAAAGATTTTTTTGAAGGGTAGAATTGCTGTTCAAGCTGACTTCATTCCTTGTCTTATGCATGTTGGAGATGACGGAGCAGGCTGGAGTAAAGGCCTCAGGGATCAAAGTATGACATCAAGTATTTTATCTAAAGACAAACTGTTCACAGAAACATCCGCAAATACTGCAAGAACTTTGAAATCAACTTGAGCTAGCAGGAAACTTGTACAATTCTGACAGGCTGACAGTCAATTATAAGCATCTTCTTCTCCACAGAGTTTCTTTTTTGTATATAGGACCTACAGCCGAAATTCCAATTCTAGACTTGAAAAGGAGTCCATTTTTCCAGACAGTGATTTCTTCCAATAACTCGTCTCCCCTTGTCTGTGTGTATTTTTAACAGGCAGACCCATGGGGTTACATTCTTGCAAACCTTGCAACTCCTGCCTGCAAAGTAAGGAGGACTGCAGAGCGGCTGGTGGCTGCTCGTATGTGTGTGACCACTGGAGATATTGCTCTGAACAATGCTGTGACATCTGCTGCCAGATGTGTGTGGACGTGTGCTCTGGCTTATGTTCAGGAGACTGCAGCTACACCTTCTGTACTCTCTGCCTCGGCATGGCACAGAACTGTATCTCCTTTTTTACCACCCAGAAAACTGAATCATCAGAGTCACAACGTAAGTGTCCAATCAAAAACATAGCTTATATTCTGATTATCTATTTCAGCTAAACAAATGTTAACCTAAATGTTTTCATCTGCTTTAGAGGCTATGATGGATCCAGTACAGCGTGCCTTTTGAACTTGACGGACCAGTGACCAAACCCAAAATGTGGATTGATTTGAAAACACAATGCAAGTAAATTCAGCTACATAGCATTTGTTTATACAATTAAAAAAATAAAGGTTGATGACATGGTGTAGGGTTTCGCTCTAACTGGGTCTTTTTCTTTCATGAAAAAGGAGATTTTAGTTGCACTGTAACTAAATGAGGTTTTTCATTGAACTATTTAATCCACATTGACCTCTAAAAATCCTGCCAGGCGTACTATGGACTGGATCCAGCCATGGTTATTGTTTGCTTCCAAGTGCATTTCAGTGATAGTCTAAGTGCATTTCAGTGGTAAAGGGATTTCTGATCCCAAGACAGAACCACATTTAAAGACAAAATAATAATCAACCGTTATCATACAAGGGTCAAAACAGGCCTCTGTAGATAATGTATGAATGCATGTGTGAATGTGTTCGGAGGATAATTGTAAAGCTCTTTGTCCCATAGGGTTGAAAGGCACTATATAAATGCAGTCAATTTAAAATGTACCATGTCTTCTCAAGTGATATTCAGTTGAGAGGACATTAAAACATCTCCATCACTCATCATTTTTGGTTTAAGGGTGTGCATGTTTCTATTTTTGAGAAGAAAACTGAAAAGCACATCTTGTCGGGCTTGGATGACTAGTGTTGTGCTTGTACAATATGTACAGGCTGATTCAGTGACTAAGGAGCAGCACTGTAGGGCAGAGAAAGTCTGCAAATAGGTTTTCTAGACGAGGAGATTGGGAAAATTGAATGGACGGAAGAAAATACTTAAGTGTAAAAAACGGTATTTTTCAGCAACTCGGTTGGAAGTGGCATTCAGCATTGCAGCAAAAGGAAAAGCTGTCTCGTAAATGAATAGTGCCACTGTGAAGAAAACTAAAAATGTTCTGTAAAATGTACGACCTTCAACATGTTCGTCAGTGGAGCCTTTATAAATGGTGTCATAATCTTCAACAGGCAATTTTACTGCAATGAGGAGTTTGATCAAGGTACTATAGGACACGAGGCACCATCAGCATAGATTAAAGCATGTAATGTTTAAATCAAGCAATAAAGTATTAAACAGGACTTGCATTCAACTAATTCATGTAACAACAAAACTATACAGTTGGCAACTCATGAGATTACAGTATAATAGAAACAAGCCAGCATTACTGTGTCAATGAAAAATGATGAGCATAGCTTGGAGAGAAGGTAGATTAATCATAGTGAGAAAGCAGATTTCAGCTGCAAGGCAATTTAACAAAAGCAGATGAGAAGAATTGAGAGTGTCATTGGTTCATATGAAAGGATGAAATTAACTTCAGTCACACAAATGGCCTGTCAGAAATCTATACTTTTAACAAATACCAGATTAAAAAAAGGTATTTCCTTTTGATATTAACTAGATGTTTTTCCTTCAGAAAACGGATTTGAAAGTATATTGTATTGTCGGGTCACAGCGCAGTTAGACATTGATGCACTTAAACTCAATGTACTTACCAGGATCCCCTATGCAGTTGGAAGCAATAACAGCAACACAAACAAACAATCTTCAACCTTTTACTATGACCATAAAATGATTCATACAGGCTGTTAGCAAAGATAAGATTTATTATTGCAGTGTTGGATTTTATGACGCAGTACAGGTGTACCTAATAAATTAATACCTACATAAGCCAGCGCCGTAAATCTGACAGTCAATTAAAGTGATTGATACATTTGTTTTTCTGATCAAGTTGCAACACAGAAAGTAAATCCATTATTCAGCATAATTTAACCACATTTATATGGTAATGTTGTACTGACAAAATAATGGCTGTTTTCTTCAGGCAAAAACACCATATAGTCAATTTCAGCTTGCAGTGGCTGGCAGCATAAGATTTTGACCCACAACATGACCTGCAGACAACAGCATGGTCAGTGAGTTCTTGATATCTCTCCTTTACAACAGATTGATTGACAGGCGAGTGTTGAATAAAGTCTGACTGCGTCCTTCCACAGCGGCTGTGGGGCCAAGCTATCTGCTGCTGCCTAATGATACCAGAGATGAGAGGCACACAGACTTTGACAACGGGTCTGAAAACAGCTCTCTGCACAGCGGCGGTGTTTGGATTTGTAAGTTCAGAGTTCATGAAATGTTTTGTGTTTGAACTGAAAACCAATAGCTAATAGGGTATTGAAGGATAAAATATAAGTTTTGAATTCGTATGTTTTTCTATTTTCAGAACAAAGGACCTTTACAATAGGCTCAAGCTTATCGTCGCTATCATGGCTGAACAAAAGCTCTGCGAACAAAACCAGCCTTCCTGGGTCCCACCCCTGTGACGGCAGAGACGGTACCCTACTAATACTCCTGTTACCACCTTTCATCTCATGTGGATGGATTTATTTCTTGTGTATTCGGATTTGTTTTGTTACAAAAGGGACAACCATTTCACGTGTGTTTTTCACTACAAGACTCTTAGAGAGACAAACAGTATTCTCTACCCCTCAACTAAGCAGAAGCGATGCATTTTTCAACTCTCGAGGATTAAACTGGCCTCATCCTGGCATACAAGCGGTACTTCAAAGCACTCGTTGGATGTCTGCGAGATTGTTTTGCACTTTGAAGCAAACAAAAATATAATTTGGCTGCACACAGCGAACAATCTGATATCACTTCTGTGACATACGGGCGCCTCAGGACACAAGGTGCTATTTGCTTCCACTGAATTAGACCTTTTTATTATCCTCCATAAAATTGCGAGTTTATGGATGTTTTAAATGATTGAGTGAGCAATGTCTCTGCATCAAAAGACACTTAGAATGAGCTCTTGCAAGGAAAATCCAACAACACAGTGGACTGTGCCCGTCTCTGCTTTTCTTTTCTTTTCCTCCAAATCCCTCTGGAGTTTGCAGTGCTTTCAGTTCAACTCAAATTCATATCCCTCTCAAACTCAGAGGATAAGCCGTGTGGCCTAGTTTACTCCTTGAACTGACCTTATCCTGCTGGAAGTTTGCGTGTCTATATTTTTATCTACAGTAAGTCCTGTGAGTCCAAAACAATTTGTATATACTTCACTCACCTTGATTGATCGGCTGAGTGTGGTTTCTTTGTATGGATTTTTCTTTTTTTTTCAACATTTATAGAGTAAGGGATAGAACGAGTGAAGTCTTATTCAATAGCAGAAGTCCAGTAGGAGCTCTGTGATTTAATATACTGTCCACAAATGTTTCATTGAGGCTTTATAGGGTATCTAATTACAAAGAAAAAGCTGATATGTTGTGAATGTACTGTATATACTGGGTTGAGTCCTCCTTTGTGTGGTTTTACAAACTAATGACACCATAACAAGTTCAGCAAAAACACGTCGGTTTGCTATCTTGGCTCCAAAATGGTGGAATGAGCTCCCCATTGACATCAGAAAGCTTACACATCTTCCGCCGCAGACTGAAAACTCATCTCTTTCGACTCCACTTCGAGCAATGAAATCAAAAAACAAATCAAAAAGCAAAACGCACTTAGATACTAACTAAGCACTCATATACTAACAAAGCACTTATATACTAACAAAGAACCGGCTTATCTAAAGCCTGTTGAGTATCACTTGAAATGTTTTAGCTCTATGAAACCTAATGTACTTATATGATTCGGTTTTCTTCAAGTTTGTAGCTCCACGCCCCTATCTGACTCCTGTGTCCGTGATTGTTTTCCCCTGTTTCCCCTTACCCTGTGTATATATTGTGCTAGTCCCCTCCTGTCCATTGCCAGTTTGTTTCCTCATTTAGGATACACGTACAAGCCTACTCCACGGACATATTACGTTCCTCTAAGCTCATGATCATAGTCCATAGTGTTATTGTTTTTCCCTGTTTTGTTACTGTGACAATACCAGTAAAGTCTTTATTTTGAACACTACCTGAGTCTGAGTTGAGTCGTGCATTTGAGTTCATGCCTCAGAGTTCACCCCTTGACAATGCAATGTAATGTAATAATGTAATAACTTTAAATACATTGTCTAATGGGGCTTGTCTTGAGAAATGTGTTCATTGACAACTACCAGAATGTGGGTGAACACAATGGTAACGGGAAGCCCCAAATGACTGAGGATCTACCTCAATAATGTGTATTAGGAAGAAGAAAATGTAGGTTTTGGGGGGATTTTTTCCCACCGTTGCTATCTTTCATCTTTTTCCCTCTTTCTTATCTCTTTGTGGCTGAGTGCATCTCTCTTCCCCTGCTCGCTGTCTGCGTTCTCCACTCATGAATTGCATTGCTTTTACTGAATGTCTTCTGGTTAGGTGTGGAGAAAGTCATTGTGTGCTGCTGTCACTCAACTAGATTACAGCTCTGGAGGATGCTTATTGCTAACCCTCCAAAAATAAGTAGGTGTCTTCTAACTTTGCCGGCCAAAAATATCTGAAGATGTCTGTTTTTTTCCCCCCCGTTTTGGGAGGGTTGTGGTACAAATAAAAACATGAGAGAAAAGATTTGGAAGACTACATCTGAATTTCATTCAACAAAGCTTCTATCAACAAATACTCACACACTTGTAACCTTGTAGATGTAGAGATCTGAAAAAGCAAAAGATAAAGAGACACATGTCATTCAAAGATGAAATCCACCCTCATTTTATTTGTTCTGTAGCCTTGTATTTTTTCCACATCAGTTCTAGTCACATGTCAACATTCCCACTGAGCTGTCAGCTTATTTAGCCATGGCCTTGTTATGTTTAGTGTTTTGATGGCTAAAAGGTACCTACTGCTGTGAGAGGCTTTGCTCCATCATTAGCACACTAGACACACAATGCTTGCTGCATGGAGAGTCATCTCAACATAGAACAGCCTATTGCTTCTCATCCGTCCAAATCTAACCGGCTGACTCATCTAAAAGAAACGACATGAAGAGCCTGCCTCTTTCACTCCTAAAATTGTTTAGATCTTTAAAATGTCTCGACTTGCAACTCTGATGACAAATTGGGAGCACCTGGAACACTCCATCTGTGAAGTAAAGCAAGTAGTGGCTTAAAAAGTTTAAAAAAGGGCAATGGTGTGTGTCCAATCTCAGT